ACTTTCCGTAATATTGTGAACCTGATATTTAAATTCATGACAATAATGCCTAAATTAACATTTAATTAAGATAGTATTTGAGAGATTAAAAAATAATTCAGTAAGCAAATTTCACTTTCTTAGCATTATCTTTCAGGTTTTGACACCTTTCCAGGCATGAAGTTTGAGTTAGATTCGAATATTTAATTTATATTAGCATAGTAATATTTTAGCTGCTCGCAAATTGCAGCAATATCAAGAAGTGTTGGCAAAATATGCAAATTTACCAATTTGATAATTTACATTTTTTGAGTTTTGTTTATGTCTCTATGCACTATAAGAAGTAAGACAAATCTTTGCATTAGGTAGACTAATATATTTAGCAGTATGTTGAAGATACTGTTTCAACAAGATTGGATGAAAAGATTGGTTCATATTCGAGTGTTTTGTGCTGAAAATAATTAAATCACATCATGTTATCACAGAATTTGGAAGTATATTGTGTTTTTTTCAGTGCATATTTTATTTTTGTCAAACAATCGTTTAAAAAACATCGGTACCACAACTTGAAATTTTGAACTTCGAATAAGATAGTAAAGAGAGTTTGATTGCACATTTAGCACTTTAATTAGTCAAATCTGTAATGAGGGGAGACGAAAATTTTCGTAACGACTCCAAAACTTTTCATTAACTGGGAAAAATATCATATTGTTATCAGTGATGAAGAATGTTTGGTTTATATTATTCTGTATAATAGTATTATTATAAACAAATGAATTCCTCAACTTTAGGTGCAGAGCAGTATGATTGAAAAAGAAGGCAGCATGCTTTGCGATTTAGCCAAGTTATATTTTGAGTTAATGAGGATTAATTTCAAATTTTATTAAAATATTCATCTTACACTGCTTAACAATTTTAGCTTCGTAGTAAATACTTCATCGTACCTATGTGTAAAGTATACGTATATATGACAAAGTTTTCAAATTTGATTAATTTATAGGATGGAGCACTTGGATTTAGAAGGATTTATATATTATCGGTCTCTGAAACAGATAAAGATGATTTATTGTGCCTTAGTTGGCGAAGTCTTTGTGGATGAACAAACAAAGATTGTAAACAAAAACAAGATACCAAACGTTGGCAAGTGGTGCAAATTCAGTGCATCACGCAATGTTTGATTTATATTTATTTTTGTGTTCTGCTATTTTCCCTCCTA